ATGACTTGTGACATTTTTGTTTCTACCTGCAAATAAAAGATTTATTGTTTGAAGTGCAACATCTGTTCCATCGGTCAAAGCTTGACAGGCACCTGAAGCAAAGAAAAATCCAACTGCCACGAAAAAGAAATAAATAAGTAAAATATCTCATCGTGCAAGGAGTGAAACATCGCCGGAGCCTTGTTACTGCTGCAAAACTCACATCCTGGAGTTTCTGGCTAGTGCTGTCGCCGTCTCTTGTCGAGCCCCTTGTGCTGAACTCCAGACAAGGAGTCAAGCACTAAGCTCACATCACATGACAGCAAGTTTACGCACCTGAAGTTCCAGCGGACGGATGTGGGGAAAAAGTTTTAATAGGCATTCTAGAAGTGGAAAAGAAATAAAAAAGAAAGGAGGAAAAAATAGCTGCAGGTAAAAGAACGAAACATCCGGAAAAGACTGAAGCCGCATCTTTCCTTTGTGTTCAACAAAGCAAGATATACTGGTTTTCCCTCAATAATAAAGTCAATATTAATAGGCATAGCGCTTTCTTCTCTCTCTCTCTCTCTCTCTCTCTCTCTCTCTACACTCTCTCTCTCTCTCCTACCTGTGACTTAATCCGTGCGCTCCAGTGTGTCACAACAAACACGGCGAACATAGTGAGATTCCTTTAAAAGCAAGCAAAGCATAAAACTCTTTAATGTCCACATCTCGACGTGGAGATTACTGGCACCCTGCTGCTAACTGAAGTAATGAAAGGCAACACGCAACTGTTGACAAGACGCGTAATAATTAGGAATCGGAAGACAAGAAGTGTTTGTTTCAAAACCAGACATATTTATGCAACTGCAGTCATAACTTTTAATTTGCTGTCCTGCTCGTCCTGCTATAATCAACAGAAATTATAGGGAATTAAGCAGTTTTGATTAAATGTATATGTGTGTGCGTGAGCTGCATAAGATATCATAAAGGCTGCGGCTTGGAGCAATGCAGGAAGAAGTGCTTATTTAAAGGGGAAATCCACCAATTTGTCTAAATTTCTACATACTTTATTGGTTAAGATGTAAACAAAGGCATTCAGAGTGGTTTGGTGTGAAATGCTCCGTTCTAGAGAAACTTAACAAATCAGAATTGTTCACAGTGGTTGTGACGTCTGAGGTGTTTAATACCCTCCTCATAGAAAATTATTACATTAAATAGTTATGAATTTACTGCCTGATGTCTGAGACATTGTTTTATGGTAGTTTTTGAGAAAGTTTTGGCCTAAAGCCTATTTTGGAGTATGTCCCATATCCTACATTTTTACATTTTTCACTTTTTCTCTTTTATTTATTCACAGTTTATGTACCAAAAACAGTCATTATTCATTTTTACACAGCCATTTTCCAACCTCTCTTCACCTTTAGAACAGGCAGTTCTTGTAACTGTGCCTTAAGATTGAGTTGCCCTTTAAAATGCATGCATGGCGGAGAGGTACATGCAGAATGCTCCAAGGTAAAACTCTTTTTGGATTTGTCACTGTTTCAGCCTAAACATTACATATGAAGGCTATTTAAATGTAGTTTCACTGGTCATTTTCGATTGCTGTATTTGTGTTGTAGCCATTGTGACCCCTGGTTCCTACGACCACTGCTGTAAATAGCCATGAAGTTTTACAATGAACCATTTCACATCAAACCACTCCGAATGACACTGTTATTTCAACAGTTAAATTATGCAGACATTTGAAAACAAGTGGAATATTTTCACTTTAGTCTTAACAGTGTAACTTCATCCTATATTCTCTTATTGCTTGTCTTTTTTAATTTGATCTATTGACTAAAATAAGCAGCTTACAGAGGAATTTTCAACCAAACAGTACAAACAATTTGACTGGATTAAGCAATGTGAACTGATTGCAAGAAAATAAGGAATTGTAAGCTGACTATTTTAGTACAAGTCAGGGTTTTCTGTGTATAATAACCCACAGGTGTTGGGGATAATGAGGAAATGTTCCCACGAGGGGGGCCAGGAGGAGTCCAGTGACAAGCCCAGAGAATAATGATGAAATTTCATCTTTAGCGTCATAATATCTATCTTTTTTTTGTTGTAGTTTAGCTAAATAAATAAATAAATGAATAAATAAATCAATTAATAAATAGAACAAAAAAAAAAATAGGCTCTTCAGGCGACCCCCAGCGTTCACCTAAAAGAGCCGACTCAAAGAACCGACTCATTCTCGAAACAGCATCGCTACTGTGTTATTGATTGCGATCTGAACTAGGGCTGTGGTACTCGAGTCCGGACTCAAGACGTATTTTATTGTCTTGAACTTGTCTCGGACTCGGTAGTCTCTGTACTCGGGCTTGTTTTGGTTTCGGACAACGGTCTCGCCACATTGATTTTCTGGTCTCGACCGAGTCCAACCACCGTTTACAAAAACCGGTTTCTTTCTGTTTAACGGTCGCCGGCGCGCGCTGACTCTCCCTCAGCAGCTCAGCGGTCAAACTGGGCCGGAGCGAACCGGAGTTTAGCGTCTTTGGTTCGTCTTAACGTGAAACAGAGCTGAGCTCCGGTGCTGTAAGTTGATGGAAATGCGAAGGGTTCCGTAATTTAATCTTTGTAAAACTCATTTTAACTGTTCAGTTGTGATAAACCACCTTTAACCTCGCCCTCCAAGTTCGTTCAACGACGTTTGTTTAACCGTCATCGGTTTAAACGGCCCTTCTGTCGATGCCACCCCGTAAGTATTGGCTAACCTTGGTTGGTTCGTTTATGCTATTTCATTATGTTTTAACTCGGTAAATAGATTTGTTTAAACCTCAACAAGTTGCATAGGTTATGTGCTGTTATTTATTCTGTTAAATCTGATTACATTTCTGTCGCAAAGGTAACTAACGTTAGCCGGGGTTTGTGTGCCGACTGTAGTTAGCTTAGCTGTTATGACTGAGGAAGGTAGCGTTAACGTTAACTCAAACATTTGTTCATACATTAACCCTGTGTCTGTTCATGTAAGTGTAGTTTTTTTTACTGAATTTGACAACTTTGCATTATGTTTAGTCTACTGTTTTGCTAGCTAACTAACATTACCCGTTTCTATGTGTAACAGTTACGTTTGCGCTTAGCTAGTTAACCTAGTTAACGCTAATCAGAATTTAAATGGTTAGCTGTGTTTGTTAGGCTGGTTCACAGTTTGGAAAGCATGTTTGATTGGATGGCGGTAAAGTGCTGCACAAAGAGGAACCGTAAGTTTTAGGTTATGTATAAACACTATTGGACTGTGTTGTGTTGTAGGTGGGCAGCACGGTGGCGCAGTGGGTAACCCAGGGCTGTCGCCTCACAGCAAGAATGGCTTGGGTTCGATTCCCGGCCGGCCGACCAGGGTCATTTCTGTGTGGAGTTTGCCTGTTCTCCCTGTGTCTGCGTGGGTTTCCTCGGGGTACTCCGGTTTCCTCTCACAGTCCAAAAACATGCAGTCAGGCCAATTGGACGTGCTAAATTGCCCCTAGGTGGGAGTGTCTGTCTGTCTGCCCTGCGATGGACTGGCGACCTGTCCAGGGTGTGTCCTGCCTTCTGCCCAGTGACAGGTGGGATAGGCTCCGGCACCCCACCGCGACCCAGAAGGATAAGCGGCTTAGATGATGTGTGTGTCTGTGTATTGTAGGCTCTTAAAACAAGGGGTAGATGATTTAAACAGATAAAAGGACAGGAAGGGTTGTTGATTGGAGCATTTTGTGTGGCCAGTTCAAAGGGTTTGGTTTGACTGTCGTTTCTGTCAGAAATGAATCAGAATATATTTTGATATAATTTTGATGCACAAATTCAAACAAGGAGTACTTAGAACAGCTAAGTAAATGATTGGATTTAATGAAGCCATCAACCCAAAAACAGATAGGCTGTTGTTTTTATCACTGTTTCATGATATTTCATGACATAGCTAATGGTTGAATAGAGTGAGTATTATTTGCATTAATTCAGAGAATTGAGTATGGGCATTGGTTGGATTAATTGAGAGTGTGCATTGATTGCATTGAAACTCCTTCTTTTAGATTTTTCCAGTAATTTGTATGAGATAAAGACTAATTAAGGCCTGTTCTTGAAGAGTACTCAGTTTTTTGGGGGGTTTTGTTAGTGACCCAGTCCTGCTTTCGTTTGAACTCCAACAAGTTCCAACAAGTCGGCGCTGTCAAAAAAAAGGGAGTATCCCTTTTTTTTTGCGATTTTTAGTTTTCTACATCGTTTGAGCTCAGCAGCTGTCCTTTGCATTGTGTGAAAGGTTTTTGCCTTCTCCTGCAAAATTACCATTTTAGAGATACTTGTTTTTCTTTGGACAGTGACAATGTCATATCATAATTTCCTGATCAAAATGGACAAAAGCAACCTTAATAGAAGTTGTGTAGGTTAATGACAGTCATTAAAGGCTAGAGCCATGTTTAAAAAGCACTATTGATAACTTTGAGTCCAAAGATTTGTATTAAACATTGGTATTTCACGTACTGTATTACACTAAATCCAGTTAAATACACAGAATTATGCTCTTTGTAATCAAACATGCAGTTGAGAAGTGTTTTCTAAGCACTGACGATATCCACAATGTGTTCAGAAAAGTGTATCATGATATATTGTGACATAATTTATCACGATAAGGATAAACATTGTCATATTTGCCAGCCACAAGTGTTACACATATTAGGTGACATCAGTTAAGGCACAAAAAGGCAGGCCAGAAGAAAAAAGTCCCTGTAGCCAAAGTCTTAATAGCACCCAGAGGCCTTCTCAAGAAAACTCGCTGAGGCCTCCCCAGCCTTGATTTACAACGAACACGTGTAATTTAATGCTGCAAATTGCTTTCTCAATCTCCACATTGCAAAATTTGTCAAAACTCGAACACCTAATTAATCTCATCTTGTAATGATTAAAATGCAGCGCTCTGCAAATTTTCCATTCAATTTATTTCTCTGTATCTGACCGTATATTTGATGTCTGTTGCCCTTTTCAGTCGCTGTTAAGATTCCACTGAAATGAGAATCTTGTCTTTGCAGGCTCACTGGCATGAATCTGCCATCGCCTGTCATCAGTAGCAAGAACTGGCTGCGGCTGCACTTCACGTCCGACAGCAACCATCGACGGAAAGGATTTAGTGCCCAGTATCAAGGTAAGGGGGGTCTGTCTGGGGAGGGAAGGTCTCTCTCTCTCCCTCTTTCTCTCTCTCTCCCTCTCCCTCTCTCTCTCTCCCTCTCTCTCTTTCCCTCTCTCTATCTCCCTCTCTCTCTCTCCCCACTCTCTCTCTCTCTCTCTCTCCCCTCTCTCCTGGCAGATGTGGGACGCTTGGCAAGTGAGTGACGGCATGTCGCCTGGCATGCTGTCCTGTAACATGGCTAAATATGACATCTTGGCTTGTCTTGGCGACTCTGTGCTGCAGGACCCGAGCTCCTGCTGTGGACTACAGCATGCCCCCTCCACCCCCCGTAAAAAGCAGGAAATAAATTACGGAAACTGCAGAGGATTTTACATCTTTCCCACATGAATAACGCAAAACGAGGCATTTTTATATTGTTTCCATGAAATGAGTTGATGATCGCGCATGCAATTTGCATAATGAGCAGGTGATGCAGCGCAGCCCGCGAACGTGAATATTGAGTTTCGCACAGATCCTGATGTTTCCTTTTCATGTGACAGGAATATAGATTTCTCTCAAATCGAGGACCTACTTTTCAGTTTCTGCGCGTTCTATAATGCATTATACAGCGAGTAGTATAAATGCACAGCATCAACAGATGTGTGATGTGCGTCATTTTTTCCGTATCACAATAAGTAGGTTATCCTCACTTGCAAGGTTAGCACACTAACTTTTCCTGGGAAATAAAGATAATTTCCTATAACAGATCTTCTCCTCTTTTGCCCCAGCGCTTTCTCATTATTGTGTGTATCCTGTTTATCCTTCGAAGAATAAAAAAGAGAAAAAAAGAACAATAGCATCTTTCAATTTCATTACAGCCTACTGATGGGGTGATGTCACACTGAGAGAAAATTATGCAAAGTTAATTTATCTCATGATTCTTGGGTCATAATTGGCGTCCCATGCAGCATAATTACAGGACTGCAACTTATGAGCTACACCAAAATCCATATTGGCTCCAGATGATGTGAACATCCAGGAAATGTCCTTCCAGTGAGGTGGCTGCTTGCAAGTGTCCTTATATGTCCAAACGGCTCTTCTGGTTAGTAAATTAAGCTACTTTCAGGTGCACACACAGGTGACACAGGTGTTCAGTTGCCAAAGTGTAACACAAGAATAAATACAAATACAGTAAAAAGAAAATGCAGTAAAATATAAGTTAATTGAAAGCATACTATAATCCTCTTTATATATAAATAAATATATACAGGGAGATTCACTCGAAAGAGGCCCTGAATATTCTGTTGTATCTCCTGTTAGGATGAAGCAGTCTGAACCAAAAAAATGCGCTACATACCTTGACATATGTGTAATTGATTGCAATACATGCGATGCAGGAAGTGATCTCCGTTTTCTGCCAGACACATGAAGGGGTATGGGAGGTATGCCCCTGGAAGTTGCAAACAGAGGTTAAATGTCGCGACGGCTGTCCGGCGCTTACGTCATTGTTTCGATGCAGGCCATCGCGGCTTGTTCAAAGCTCCATATACTGAGGAGCACATTGCACATTGTTTCAATCAGATTGATTCGTCCTAGAGAGAGTTATTACAGAATATTCGGGGCCTCTTTCGAGTGAATCTCCCTGTATCTTTCTTATGTAAATGAAAACATTGATTCCAAACTTTTACACACATGCATATATTCAGATTCATCCAAATTTCAGGCCTGTTTAAAGCTCTGTGTGATTCAGGGTGTTCTTTAATTCTTGCGTTCACTACAGTCATGTTCCCTGCTTCCCCCTGGCTGCGCTGCTGTCAGTCCTGCTCTCTCTAGTCACTGTGTTGATGAGGGAGAGCACACCTGAAGCCTCATTTGGAGGCCCAGTACAAGACCAGCTCCTCCAGGGTTACATGCTAGTGGCAAGAGCTCATTGAGGTGTTGGCACATTATGCCACTCTGGTACTCTGATCATTTTTTGCTAATTGCGTGAATGGATTATAAAGCGCCCTACATTTTCTTTCAGTGTTCTTCATCCCTATCCTCTCTCTCTCTCTCTCTCTCTCTCTCTCTCTCTCTCTCTCTCTCTCTCTCTCTCTCAACAGTGAAGAAGGCCATAGAGCTGAAGTCCAGAGGAGTAAAAATGCTTCCGAACAAAGACACAAACCACAAAAATGCTGTCTGTAAGTATGCTGTTAAAGCCCAGATTCAAAGATTTTCTTTGTTCCCTTGTACTATTGTTATATGTATGTGTGGCTTTATGTACCTAAAACATCATAATTCATTTTATCGTGACCATTTCACAACCTCTGTTTATCTCTGAAACAAGGTGTCTTTGCTACTATGCCATTAAGATATATTTATTCCAAAATTAGTTCAAGCTGATATGTATGGAGCAAAGTTTTAAGCTTGCTCAAATTCAAGAATGTAGACAAGATAAACTTCAGCCACTCTTCACAGATGTCTGAATGGATCCTTTGAAAGGCTGCAGTAATACAGTTTGAACACCTCCAGTCAAATGACATGTATTGTTGATTTTCTAAGTGGGAAAAAAATGAATACATCCTCTACAGATAACTTAAAAATACAATTTTCCTGCTAATTTTAGTGCACAAATTTTAGTTTTAATATAATTTTTAGTGTTTACCATGGAAAATTAATACATCCTGTACAGATAACTTAAACTTGCCATTTTCCTGCCAATGTGAGTAAACAATTTTTAGTTTTAACATAATTTTTAGAGCTTAACATGAAAAAAACAGAAAATATAAAAAATACATATAACTTTTGCACAGTCCGTGTTTTATTATTTATTTATTTTTTTACTTAGAAAATCAACAAAACAAGTCATTTGATGCCCAAACTTTTACACACGGCTGTAACTTTGCTCTCTAACAGCCAGGAACAGCACAATCTTTTTCCCTCCACTTTAGTAACTCCGCTAGAGACTGTCTGCAGCCTGTATGTTCTGGGGAGAGTTTAACAAACCTTTTTATTTTAATAAAAGCAGGAAAATTCATAACAGGATATTGGCCCTCAAAGCATCAGCTGTCTCCGGCAAATCACTAAGCAGTGTGACAGGAAGAGCCCAATGACTGAGACTCCATGCGTAAATATTTCATTGATAAAGCCACATGGCTGATGTGAAGTGAAAAGTTGTGTGTTTCAGAAACGTATCAGTGGGGTTTAACGCATCCGCCCCATCGAGTTCAAAGTAGCGGAGATACAGAGCAGATCTGAAGCTTCTAAAGCTAAATATATTCCCCATAGGGGGTAAAAAAAGTGTATCCACACATTTTTTTAATACACAATCAGGAGCAGTTACATAAAGCAGTTAGGACTCTCGGCACCCTCTTAACTCCTGCCTTGTTTCTTTCACTCCTACAAGCAGTCTTGCGGTGTTTGTTGCTGCTCACATGCCTCACATCCCACCCTGTGTCCCTAATGCATTCGGTAGAAGATGCCCTTGACGAAGCTCCAAATCCTCCTGTTAAACACCAGATTATACCGTATCAATAATTTGGCCCATTCTCCGCTTCATCAAGCGTGTTTTGTGGCAATTAACACCGCAAAAGGCTGCTGACTCCACTAATATAATGCACTTCGACTGTGCTCTGTCTGTAGAATTCACAGAGTACATTTACAGTACCAGTCAAAAGTTTGGACACAACAGTTTAACTGCATGTATTTTAGAATCTTAACAATATTTTTGTTTAAACACATTAAGCTTAGATGTTTGAAAATTAGTTTATTAACTAATATGCATAGTAACATTGATGTCTGTGAATTACTTTATTTCTAAAACAGCCAAATGTTTAGCATATGTGGAACAAGTTTTGGAAAAGTGTCCTAGGTGGCTCCTCAAGGAACTGCTTGAGATAATACCAAGAGTGTGTAAGTGTGTGTCAGCATCAAGACCAAGAGGGGCTATTTTAAAGAATCTACCGTATAAAATGGTTTTAATTTGTTTACCACTTTTTTGCAGCATTACATGTGTTAAATACATAAAAGGCTGGTTTACAAGGGAAAACAAAAGCATTGCTGTTGGGCCCCAAGTCTGCGCAAAATAAGGCTGCACATTTTATCCTTGACCTTAATGGTTGGTGTAACACTTGGATGCCAGTTTATCATTTGAGTCCTATATCAGTTATATCTCTAAGGCATTATCTGCAGTTTTTTTTCACTTTCAAGAAAATCTTCATCCCTGCCTGCAGCGTTTGTCTCCGTCCACAGGAGAGCGTAAAAATGAATCAGAATGATCACGTGAGCATTCCAGCCCAGTAAAAGGTGATAACACCTCATTACATTTGATGTCAAACGAATATTGCAAGCATGTTTACCATGCAAAATGGAGCATGCCGTGAAGCTGAAGCAGAGAGTTTCTAAAAAAACTGACAGCTGCGTTTGGTCGTCCACACAAAAACACTGAAAACTAAGGTGTCTGTAATCTCCACCCTGGAGTGTTTTCAAAAACCTCTGTCTTCAGTGAGGTTTAAAGCCTTATTAACCAGTGCAGACCACTTCACTCAGCTGAAGCAGGATTACCGCAAACATCTAGGATCTGTTGCAGCTCAGCTGGTGGAAGATCGTTTTCTTATATTGCTTCTAAACTATAGAATAGCATTTATTTTGAATGCAAGATTGAAATGTGTTTTTAAATCTAGATTAAACTATAATTTTTATGCTAGCACATGCCTTGTAGTATTGTGGCTCATTTTGTCCAGAAAGTAATTGTGCCATTATTTTCAATTTGTTTCTTCATTCTGACATCACTATCATTCTGAAATGTGGACCTGTAAGCAGGAGTGTCCAAACTTTTGACTCATACTGTATTACAGTATTGGATCATCTTATTTAGAGATGCTTCGATATAATTTTTTTTAAAATTGAGTACGAGTAGATATTTTTAGTGCTTGCTGATACTGAGTCCAGTAACATACTGAGTAGTCTACTTAGTTGTTAGTGTAAATGACTGCAATTTGCCTTAACAGTTAAATCATTAAAATCTAGCTGATTTTAAATTAAGTGCATTAGCTAACTTTGCTAACTACATTAGTTACCTTTGATGGAGTAGCGCTGCAGTGGAGAAGAGCGGGTCTCTTCTGAAGTCTTTTGTTTGGCTGGTTGAGCTGTAGCTGAATGTCCTCTAAAGCCAGACATACACTGTGTGATTTTAGAAGTCTTGTTCTGTAAGTCACTGTAAGCTGATGACCATCATGAATTAACAAAGCCTACGGTTTATATGCTCACATTGGTCCATGCTACTTAAAACGTAGCCTTACAGAAAGCTGTCTGTAAACAATTTTAGATAAAGCTGTTTCATTCAAAATAACACACTGTGCGCTGAGTAAAAACAGCAGCTCGGCTAAGCATGCCGTGCACTGAAATGTAACGTTGCACGGTAGGACAATATACTCTCTGTACAGCCTATTTTGCAAAGAAAGTTGAAAAAAAACCATTAATACCTCGCAGTTATATTCAGTCAAATAGAGTAAAGTCAGTATATATGGACTTTGGTAGCTAGCAAATGTCAACTTTGTTTCCCCTCTGTTGGGGAAAAGGATGTGATTGTGTTCGTGTGTGTTAAAATAGGCAGGAATCTGCCAGTCCGGAATGTTTGAAGTGACCGGCAGCTTTCTGTCCAACCGCGGCATCAGAAACTCTCCTCTGTGTGGGCGGAGCCTCCTTCATTGCCAGTTTGAGTGGTTCGTTCATTAGTGCGGCATTATACACTCGGCTTACGGCACATAGTACCAGCTGGTGTTGGAATGTTGGTATCTGAATTTTTATGAACATGAGTACAATTAAATGAGCACAGTATTGGACTGATACCAGTATCGGTAGTGGTGCGTCCCTAATTATTAAATTATAACAATGTAATAACTATTACATCTAAGTTGTTACATTCAAACACATCCATTGGGGTTCCTCTGCCAGTCCATCTACACACAATACAGTGTAACTGTATGCGTCATAAGTGGCTTCTCATATACACAGCCTATAAGACCTAAGCCTGAGCATATCTCTATATTTCTGACTGCAACTTGGTGGTATGTTACAATATCATGAAATAACTGAACAAAAAAATTAAAGATAAAAAGTGAAAGTGCAAGAGAATAACACACAGTGCCTTGATCAGATCTGTTAGTATATTTCTATTTTTAATTGAGAAACATAACTAGTGCAGATGCTTCCAGTCAGGTGTACTACATGATACAATTAAGCAATTAATATCCTATCATGCTCTGTGGCGTGTACAGAAATGCGGAGCAGGCCCAGTTGACCTTGATTTTTGAATCAAAATGGCAAAAGTCACAAAGAGTGCTTAACTGGCCAGTGTTTTAGTAGGAACAGTGAATAAATTGACTTCTGGATTTAGATCAGTAAATAGACATTCCATGAGTGTGATGCTTGTGCATTGAGGGGATATATGAAGAAAAACAGAAGAGTCACTGTTGCTCAGGTAACTGAGAACATCAATGCAAAACGTGATCAGACAGCAAGAACAGTCCATCCGCTACTACACAGTGATGGATAATATAGTAGAGCTGCAGTGACTAAACCTTCATTACAAAAACAATTGACTGTTTGAGAGTTCAGTGGTGTAAAAACCATCAGCGCTGGTGTACAGAGATGTGGGGAAAAAATGTGACCGGGTCAGATGTTTCCTGTATGCGAAAGTCTTTGAACATCTGAGAAAATGATAAAAGATATTTAATAAAGCTATTAAAAAAACACTGACATTATAATAACAAACAATTAAACAATATATTGTGATCCAGTCCAGTATTTACAGTTACCATCCAATACCTAGTTTATCTAAACGATCCAAAGCTTATGGAATTTAACAGGCCCATATTTTACAATTTTATAGTATTAAACTGTTTTCCATGTCCACTTATAATGTTTGTTTGAGTTTATGCAACAAAAAAGGTTCATAATTCTTTTCTGTGTGAACATTTTCCAACCTCGTTCATTTCTTAAGAATTAAACAGACTGTTTTGGTTACTGTGCCTTTAAGAGAGTGACACATGTAAACACAACAGAGCTGATTGGCTGTTCTGAATTGTTTTTCATTCAAAAAGCAGTTCAGACTGACGCTCCTTATAATTTCATTGTAAATAAGTGGGGCTAAACTGCTGTAGGCCGAATAGGTGTACATATGACATCACAAAAACAGTGA